ACTCTGAAAGTAGTATTCCTTACATTGTGGCCACTAGCCATGTTCCTAGAATCCAGTCCTGTCCTCTCCCCCCATCCAGCTGAAATTCATCCATTCCTCCATCCATCTTTTTATTCATTTATATAACCAACAGATGTGTATTGAACTATGTGCCAGTCACTATCCTAGGTATATTGATACAGCAAGGAAGAAGACAGCCAAGTTCCTTCCTCTCATCCTCTCATAATATTTACCTGTATTCATTTTTGATGCTGTTTAACAAATTACCAACACTTAGCAGCTCAAAACCACCCATATTTACTATCTCACAGTTTCCATACATCAGGAGTCCAGACACGGTTTAGCAGGGTCCTCTGCTCAGGTTCTCACAAGGTTGCAATCAAGGTGTCAGCCAGGTGGCACTCTCATCTGGAGGGCTGACTGAGGAAGAATCTCCTTGTAAGCTCATTCAGGTGCCAGGGTCTGTTCTCAGCTCCTAGAGGCTCCTAAAGTTCCTTGCCATGTGACCCTCTCCATAGGTATTCTCATAACCTAGTAGCTTAGTCAAAGAACAGAGAGAGTCTCTCTTACTCCAGTATGTTAAGACAGAATTTTATATAATCATAGGAGTGGCATCCCGTCACCTTTTCCATATTTAGTTGGTTAGAAGCAAGTCACAGTTTTGACCCACACTCAAGAAGGGATTTTCAAAGGGTATAGATAATTGGGGATCACCAAGTGATCACCACATTACCTTTTAGAAAGAGAGACAGTATGAGAGGGACAGATGTTCTACCTTAAAAGGACTTATCAGATAAGCCCTATTTGGGTAGGTACCACTTGACCCCTGAGGTATCACTTGATCTCTGCTAGGCAGAGATCTGGTAGAAGAGTCTTTTTGGCTTAGGAAACAAGCAAAGGCCTTGAACTGGTTAGAACAATCTTGGTATATTTGAGGAATAAAAAGAAGGCCAGTTTTTACACCTGAAACTAATGTAACATTATGTGTCAACTCTATCTAGATTAAAAAAAATAATTTAGGGGCGCCTGGGTGGCTCAGTCGTTAAGTGTCTGCCTTTGGCTCAGGTCATGATCCCAGCGTCCTGGGATCCAGCCCCACATCGGGCTCCCGGCTCCATGGGAAGCCTGCTTCTCCCTCTCCTACTCCTCCTGCTTGTGTTCCCTCTCTCGCTGTGTCTCTCTCTGTCAAATAAATAAATAAAATCTTTAAAAATAATAATAATAATTTACAAATATTTTTTTCCAATTGAAATGAGAAAGAAAAAAGAAAAGGAGGCCAGGTTATTGGAGCATGGGAGATGAAGTTAGAGAGATAGGCATGTGCCATGTCATACAAGGCTAGTAGGTAATAATAAGGGTGTGGATCATTTGCCTATTTGCTCTCAGTTCATTACCTTCCCTTTTCTTCTTTGTTCAGGGACTGACTCCTACAAACTTAATTTTCAAGACTCCCTTGTCCACTGGCTTCCAGTTAGCTTCAGCCTATGGGAGGTACAAGGTTAAGTTAAAACTGCTTAGAATGACACAAGGCTCCCTCTCACTCATTCTTCTGTTCAACAAATAATTATTTTCTATTGTGCTCCAGGCTCTATTACTAGGCTACTGTGGATACAATAAGCAAAACAATCAGTCTCTGCTCTTGCAGAGCTCTGTGATACCAAAGAAGTTACACTTCCTCAAAAACACATGCCTTTGTGCTTGCTGTTTTATTTGCCAAGAATGCACTTTGCCCTTCTGACTATCTCCTTAATTTTTGTTCACCACACAACACCCAGCTCAAATAGTACTACCTCTAAGAAGATTCCCCTGATCCCACAGCCAAACAGAATTAATTATCCCCTTTTTTCATTACTTTTTTTTTTTTTAATAAGCTCTAGGCCCAACATGGGGCTTGAACTCACAACCCTGGAGATCAAGAGTCACAGGCTCTACAGACTGAGCCAGCCAGGTGCCCCTTCTTAGCATTACTTCTATACCTTTTATAAGCTTCTAATATTGTGCTTGTCAAGCTGCATTTTGATTACTTGCTTTTGTTTTCTCCCCTACTAGATTAAAAAGAGGGATGATCTCTTATTTATCACTCTATCCCCAGCAATAAGCACGGTAACTAGTGTATAACAGGTCCTCAATAAAGACTGTTGAACTGAATTGGAATTGCACTGCCCTTATGACAGGGTGAATAGGGATGGTGCTGAGATCTTGGAATTCCTACAATCTATAAATCTTCCATTTGACCTAGGAATAGGGTAGTTAGGATAACAACTGATCAGGCGCCTGTGTGGCTCAGTCTTTAAGCGCCTGCCTTTGGCTCAGGTCATGATCCCAGGGTCCTGGGATCGAGCCCCGCCTCCGGCTCCCTGCTCAGTGGGAAGCCTGCTTCTCCCTCTCCCACTCCCCCTGCTTGTGTTCCCTCTCTTACTGTCTCTCTCTGTCAAATAAATAAAATTTTTTAAAAAAAAAGGATAACAACTGATCTTCATGAACACCGTCATCTTGCCTCTGGCTATATAAAGGATACTTTCATGTTTCGTTCTACACTAAAATAGGCTTTTTCAAATTAGGATCACTATTTAAGTCATGTTATTACATAGACAGTATTAATTCTTCAGACCTAAGTTTAAGAAAGCAGGAAGTGACATGGCAAACATTCACTAACTTAGATTAAGTCGAGGGAAAGAGCACCTGAATCAATGAGTCAATGAGATCTGACTCATGGGATATATAAATATTTTATTTAAAGAAACCAGCGTGTCAAAGTAATAATGAGTTAAACTTATATGAGTCTTTTTTTAAAGATTTTATTTATGTATTTCTCAGAGAAAGAGAGAGATTAAGAGAGAGAGAAAGCACAAGCAGGGGGAGCAGCAGGCAGAGGGAGAAGCAGGGTCCCCGCTGCGCAAGGAGCCTGATGCGGGGCTCGATCCCAGGACCCCGGGATCATGACCTGAGCCAAAGACAGACGCTCAACTGACTGAGCTACCCAGGCGTCCCAATCTTAATAATGAGTCTACAAAAGAGCATGAAATATTGGCCCACTTAAAATAAAAATGATGGGCACCTGTGTGGCCCAACTCTTGATTTTGGCTCAGGTCATAATTTCAGGATTGTGAGATCTAGCCCGGTGTCAGGCTCCATGCTGCATGGAGCCTGCTTAAGATTCTCTCTCTCCCTCTCCCTCTACCTTTCCTCCCCTCTCTAAAAAAATTTTAAAAGTTAAAAAAAAAAAGAAAAATGTTTCTTGGAATCTTATTCATGTTTTCAGTTGACTTGCTAATGAAATTTTTTTCATAGATAACATCAGGTCAGCCCCTGAAATTTGTTCATATTTTCAATACATTTATATTTATATAAATGTGTATTTTATAGGATTAGAATCTGAATTTATATTTATTTATAGTTTACATGATTACAATCTGAAAATAATTGGCTTTAAGATTTATGCTTTTGGGGGCGCCCGGGTGGCTCAGTTGGTTAAGCACCTAACTCTTTTTTGTTTTTTTAATATTTTATTTATTTATTTGACAGAGAGAGACACAGCGAGAGAGGGAACACAAGCAGGGGGGAGTGGGAGAGGGAGAAGCAGGATTTCTGCGGAGCAGGGAGCCTGATGCGGGGCTCGATCCCAGGACCCTGGGATCCTGACCTGAGCTGAAGGCAGACGCTTAACGACTGAGCCACCCAAGTGCCCCCTCTTTTTTTTTTTTTTAACATTTTATTTATTTTACTTGAGAGAGAGAGGGAGAGAGCACAAGCTGGGGGACCAGCAGAGGGAGAGGGGAAGCAGACTCCGCACTGAGCAGGGAACTGACGCAGGGCTCGATCCCAGGGCCCCAGGATCATGACCAGAGGTTGGGCTCTGCATTCAGCAGAGAGTCTGCTTGAGAGTCTCTCCCTCTGCCCCTCCCTCTGTGTGCACCCGCATGCTCTCTCTCTCTTTCTCAAATGAATTTTTAAAATCTTAAAAAAAAGATTTATGTTTTTATAGGATAAATTAGCTCAAATTCTTCACAAATATTATTCTAAGAATATCAATGAAATTCTAGGACTGTATCCTAAGAAAGTATTAAAAAAGGCAGACAGGGGGCTGCTTGGGTGGCTCAGTCAGGTGAGCATCTGACCCCTGATTTCAGTTTAGGTCATGATCTTAGAGTTGTGAGATCAAGCCCCATGTCCCCCCCCCCCCTCTGCCTCTCTTCACCCTGCACTCTTTCTCTCTCTCAAATAAATAAATAAATCTCAAAAAGAAAAAAGAAAAGGTAGACAAGGGGCGCCTGGCTAGCTCAGTCAGTAAAGCATGTGACTCTTGATCTCTGGATTGTGAGTTCAAGCCCCACATTGGGTGTAGAGATTACTTAAATAAAAATTTTTGAAAAATAAAATAAAATCTTTAAAAATTTTTTTTTAAAGTTACAGAAGTTACAGGATAGTTACTGAGCATAAATAAAGTTTTATATTAAGCTACAGAAGTTACAGGATATTTATTGAGCATAATCTAACCTATATAGAGTAATATAATATGTGTTACTTTCAACAGATAAAGTACCTAAATAACAGGCAATAGCAGTGTAAGACTACTATAATGTCAGTGCATTTTTACAAAACCAGGACATGATTCACAAATAAGAATTATGAAGGAGAATAGCTAAGTATTTTTTTTTAATTACAGAAACAAATCAAACCACTGGACATACCATTAAATAATACAAAGATTCAAGGGGATCAACATAAGGGTCTGGAGCATCTGAACTTAGCCATGGGTAACAATGTACACAGACACAAAGGAAATTACAAGACTGACCATTGGAAGAAAATTATTTTTTTTTAAGTTTTATTTATTTAAGTAATCTCTATACCCAATGTTGGGCTCAAACTCATGACCCCGAGATCAAGATTTGCATGTACCTCTTACTCAGCCAGCCAGGCACCCCTGGAAGAAAATTATTTGAGCTCTCTCCTTTTCTCCACCACTGTGGTGTGTGTGTGGTTGACTGTTCCTTACCATGTCTTCTCACAAGACTTTCGGGATCAAGCAATTCTTGGCCAAGAAACAAAAGCAGAATCATCCTACTCCCCAGTGGATTCAGATGAAAACCGGTAATAAAATCTGGTACAACTCTAAGAGGACACATTGGAGAAGAACTAAGCTGGGTCTCTAAGGAATCACATTGAGTTGGCACACATATTTATGTTGCATGAAAGTCACTTGCTCGTAACATATCATTCTGCAAACATCACTACTACCTGAATAATAGACAGGTTGGATTGGGAAAATGATTCTTCTCTGTTACTATGCTTCTGCACCAGTAGGTTGGCTCAGTAATAAATATGAGATCTTTTGTTTGAAAAAAAAGAGAGAAGTATTGAAACTACAGTGGTTAAAAGAATCAAAGTGGGTAATGGAAGAATTTAAATATGGAGTTTTTCAGTAGTTCTACATTTTTAGGATTTGGTTAATTCTATACAGTAAGAAAACCATATCAAGTTATCAAGTCATTGGATCAATTCAAGGAATACCTTTTATTTTTTAACCCATGCAGAATGGCAATATTCAACATCCACAGAGTATCTTCTTATGTCAGTAAATCATCTAAATTGTTAAACGAAACAATTAGATGTAGTGTTCCTAAAGCTTTGGTTGTTTTGTTTTGTTTTAAGTAATCTCTACACCCAACATGGGGCTCAAACTCAGAACCCCAAGATCAAGAGTCACATGCTCTACAGACTGAGCCAGCCAGGTGCCCCTAACACTTTGGTTTTAGATCTGCTATTGATTCTACTTCTATGGTTCTGTGACTTCGAACAAATCATTTCATTTCTCTAGGCCTCAGTTCCTCATCTGTAAGATAAGTTTGGACTAGCTATCCCTGTTTCTTTTCAGCTTTAAAACCCTATCAATTTGGGGCGTCTGGGTGGCTCAGTCGTTGGGCGTCTGCCTTCAGCTCGGGTCATGATCCCAGGGTCCTGGGATTGAGCCCCACATCGGGCTCCCTGCTCCGTGGAAAGCCTGCTTCTCCCTCTCCCACTCCCCCTGCTTGTGTTCCCTCTCGCTGTGTCTCTGTCAAAT